ATCAATAAATTGTACAAAAGATTTTGTAAATACTATATAGATGTTCAAATCAATTAAAATTCATAAATGAACAACACCCTCTAAATTATAAGTAACCGACGGAAACTAATAAAACTCCCTTTTTTCAAAAAAAAAAACAAATAAAACTCCCAATAACATCACTCCAAGTTCCATTTTCAGTAATCCATCCATCCAAATCAAATCAATAAACCTCTTGGCTCCATCAGGCTGGGGAGCAACTGTTTCCGTAACTGGCTCTGTTGGTTTTTGAGCATCAACAACGTTCTTACCTTCAGAAGCATTAAAAGAGTTCTCCACAGAATCATCGATTTCGCGAATCGGCTCGGTCATGTTTAGCTCATCAGCTTCGGCTGCTGGTACTATAATGACAGTCCACAAAAGATTTACTCAATATATATATTATTTAGAATATGGTGGACATATATATGTGTACTCTCTTTTATCGTTAAACTTCAAAGTACTTAATCAAAACGGAAAGTAACACAAGACTTAGTTAACTTACCAGATTCAACAACTGGCAGAGTTATTGGAGTGGAAGTCTCTTCTTCATCAATATAGCGAAAGATGTCATTGAGAACATCATAGGCAAGACTGTAATCACTTGTGTTTTGACGTGCAAAATAAAACGTTTGAGAAAAATTTCTCTTAACTTTGTCTTTTCCGGTCAAGAAACCAATAACCATGATAAGTATCCCATCTTTGAAGGAATTCTGAGAATGGACACTCACTACCTCGAATGTCGTACTATAGTCACATGAAAGGAAGTGCTTGTCGATAGCCTGGACCAAGATGATAAACAATGTCAAGTCTTGTATAGATACTAGACAAGAGTCTAATTAACTCAAGGTCTTTTTATTGTAGCAAAGTCAACAATATTGTTAAGCATGAGAAACCAATAAGTCAATTATTACTAGTTCTACGACAATAGCATATTATATATATACAAAATATGTGTTCTCATAACTTAAAACAAGATTAATTTTTCTCGTGAGTTTAAGCAACCAACAAAAAGTATGAGCTAACAAACAACAAAGATTTGCTAAAGAAAACAAAAAGCTAATACAAGTCTAGAATAAATCAAAACCAAAAAAGCAACCTTGACCTAATAACCTAATAAAACGATATAGAAGAATGGAAGGAGACGAG